GTCATGATGAATGTGCTGGACCGTACAACACATAGTACCGTACATTGCATCCATACATTGCGTGTGCATATCATCGTCATCGTCATCGTCATCGTCATCGTCATAGTCATCATCATTGCAGGCCCCATACGTCCCATTCCCGTGGATCATATCCATATCCCACTGGTTGTCCAGTATTCATAATGCCATATCTTTTGGGGGCGCCAGGCGGAAATCATGAGGCTAGACCGGGCCGGGGGCTGGTTGGGCTGCCCCGAACACGTGGGAAAACTGGGGGTCAGTCAATCTCAGTCAGTCAGTCAGTCGTGCATCTAAAATTAACTGCCCTAGCAAGCACCCAGCTCCATCATTGTTTCGGCGCGGTTCGTTTCCTCTATATGAAAAACCCAATGTCTAGGTTTTAAAACACTGGCTTTGCCCAGTTTAGCTGGATAAATAGAGTAGTTTAAACCGAGTGACATGGACAGGTTCAACCCAGGCGAGGAGAAGTTGAACTTGAGACAAGCATGTGAGATGAAGATCCCAGATGACACCATTCCGATCCGATGATAGATTAGTAATCATTAGTTAACTAGTGTTGGGGGGATTGGATTGGGTGATTCGTACCCTCTATATCACCACGGCGCTGGTGGTGATTGAGCCCTTTTGCCCTAGTGGCCTAATAACTAGTTACCTGTAGTTAGTTGAGATAAAGACACAAAAGGGAAGAAACAATAACATCAAACCCCGTGTAATGACATCCTTCCTTTTGTAAATATATATATAGAACCTGACGAACGCAAAGATAATAGAATTTACAAGACATAACTTTGCCCCAAGACCGTCAACATCAGGCTTGGACCATCGAGATGACATCACCGTCGTTTATTTGTGGAATGGCTCGATTATTTGCCACTGCCACTGCTTCTCTCCGCAAAGAAGGCCAACGATAACTCGTCCCGACTGCACCCGCATTGGAGGGTGGCGCTTGCTGGGAATTTACCCGGATGACATGGCTTGGCATATGGTCTGTGATTCTTTCCTGCGGGACTTGGATGGGAACAAGCCATGGGACGTATGTATGGCTATGTATTGCAGATACGTGGAGTAATAAAAGAGTCGTAGTAATAACGTTATTTGTTATTATATTTTTATTGTTTTATTATTATGATTTTTCATTATCGGCCAGGAACAAAAGTGCATTGCAAATCCGAAAAGAATGGCAGGGGAGGGGAGAGGAGGAAACCCCAAAAAAAAAAAAAAAAAAAAAACCAAAAACAAAGGAAAAAGAAAGCAAAACTCTTCAAACAAGATTCCACCTCCCCTTGCATTGGCTTCGTTAGTTTACGATACGGCAGATCCTGTTCCTATCAGGGGGACGAGATTTTCTTCCCTCGACGATTTCAGCGGGGCAAAAAAAAACCGGAAAAACGAGAAAACCCTTGGGTCCAAAGAAAAGAGACGATATCAGAGCCTCAATTGCATTGTTCGTACGGCGGATAGGAGGAAGATCACGCCCTGGCAAAGGGAAAAACAAAACTTACCCGCGCGCTGGCCGGAGAGACATGATGAGACGAGGCGCGTGTGCTGGAGTTACGCCGCATTTTGATTTTGATTTTTATTTTTACGCCGTATCAAAGATAAGAAGTAATTTATTTTACTGTGCGGCTGTTATCTTACTTTACTATCTTACAGACCGCCACCGTATCAATACTGGTCGGCACCTTATCGCGTCCTTGTTACATAGACAGAGCGCCAGCCACACCACGCTAGGGAACACAAATGCGATATTTATAAAATGGTAATTTATCACTTGTACGGAGTAGCAGGGAAAGAATCATCAAGAAAATTTAGGACCAGAGGTTGTTGATTTTCAACGAGAGTAGAAGATGCGTGTTTGATCGAGCTTACCACGATAAAACTGTTTATCTACATCGTTGATCGGAGCCTCAGGCGGTACGGGGCTGGCTTTCCTGGTTTTCCGAAATACGCAACCTCGATCCTTACCAGACTTTATCATACCCGTACCAGTGCGTACCAGTGCGTACCAGTGTGTATACCATCTTACCGCGGGTGGCTGTACAATCACGCAAGCGAAAAAAGTCCCCCCACCCATGGGCGGGAATTAATCTTGTATTATTACTCCCTTCTCATTCCTCGTTCCCTCGTTTCTCTTCTTGCGTCTGATTCACCTCGCTCCTCCTCATCCTCATCGTTCGCCTCCGCCATTTTGCTTTCTTTGTCTCCTCTCCAACGCCCTCTATATATCCGTTCTTCTTGTCCGTCGTCTATAGAACTTCCCATTTCCCATCGAGCTTCATCGAGCTTGATCGAGCTTCATCGGACTCCTTTGCTCTGTGCATCCCATCTCTTGGACTCAGCCTCCACGTTCTTGTTTTCGCCACTTCTCTGTCCACAGCTCAGACACTCCCCCATAATCTACAAACATGGTAAGTTGCGTGGTTGCTCGTTCCTTCTGGGTTTGTGGGCGAGGGCTAACGGGGCGGCTGCTGCTGCTTTGGACGATAGGCGTATCCTGCTCCCTCCACACATCTCTCCAACACGGAGAATGTACGTTTCTTCTGACTTGTTGTTGCTGTGACCCTTTTTGTGTTGCTTGGCTGTTTTTCATTCCGGGGCCTCTTTTTGGGAGCTCTGTAGACGGCGCTTTAAAGGCAAAGCACGTGTAAGCTGACTGGTAGCTTTTCTCCTGGTGTTCGCGACTGCACAGCTCATGAAGTATATGAGCCTTGACCAGCGAGGCCATGTCCTGGCGGAGTATGTCTGGATTGATGGATCCGGTGGTGTCCGCTCGAAAACAAAGGTACGCATACACACTTGGGAACTTCCCCAGCCCGCTGCAATACACGAATGAACGAATGACTGGACGTGTGAAGATCCTTGAAGATCCTTGTGTCCTTTTATATGCACCTTGCTATAGCTATACAATGGAACAAACCCAACAACAACACGTGCTAACAACATTTTCTCGTGCATGACAATAGACACTTAAGGGATCCGTGAAGTCAGTCGAGGAGCTTCCCGAATGGAACTTCGATGGCTCGTCAACAGGCCAAGCCCCTGGCGAAAACTCAGACGTCTACCTTCGCCCCGTCGCCATGTACGCGGACCCCTTCCGTCGTGGCGACAACATCCTCGTCCTTTGCGAAACCTGGGACTCGGACGGATCACCCAACAAGTTCAACTACCGCCACGAGGCCGCGAAACTCATGCGCACCCACGCAAACGAACACTTTTGGTTCGGTCTAGAACAGGAATACACCCTGCTTGGGCCCGATGGGTGGCCATATGGCTGGCCCAAGGGAGGGTTCCCAGGTGCTCAAGGCCCATACTACTGTGGTGTGGGAACTGGCAAGGTCCACTGCCGTGATATCGTTGAGGCTCACTACAAGGCTTGTTTATATGCTGGCATCAACATCTCCGGTGTCAACGCGGAAGTCATGCCTGCTCAGTGGGAGTTCCAGGTTGGGCCCTGCGAGGGTATTAACCGTGAGTTATCTCATCGCACCCTCAGCACACATGTATAGGATACAGCTTTGGGAAAGATGAAAAAAAAAAACTAACAAATTCC